ATGTTTGGAGACATGCAGGCCCCCTCCGGCACAGCGGGGCACAGAGGCTGCCCGGGCCACGCCGTCTCCGCCAGGAACGTGACGCTGAGGAGGCCTCACGGTGCCAAGGGGCATGACGGCTGTCGCAAGCACCGCTGCAGCAGGGACGCCTCGCATGGCAGGGCTGCAGCACCACCAAACCCCAAACGGGACGATCACCACTAACACCCTTTGCCGGGACCTGGCTCCATCTCTGGGCCCACAGCTTGGCTGCCACGTTAACCCCTCAGCGTGGTTCTCTGCCTAGCCTGCCCCTTTCACATCCGGCCCACTGCCTGGGCAGCTGTTAACCGAGCCGGAGGAGCGCTTTCCGTCCACCTGGCTTCTCTGAGGCCAGAACACAGCCCAGCTCGGTCAGTCCTTGCCCTGCGCCACGCTGCGCAGGTGCTGGAGCGCTGCTGCACAGCTGAGCCTCCCCAACGTAGGATTCTATTTCCAAAACCGTCTCCAGTGTTAACTTATCAGGCTCTCAAAGAGCTGGAGCTGGCTCTCTCTTGCTGTCCCAAAGGCTCCACCTTGATCCTTTGTCTTCCACCGTGGCCCTGGGGATCACCTTGCAACGAACCTCACGTTTGCGAACGCGTTTTAATCCCACGACACCGTTCTGCAACACGCACATGCGGAGCAGGACGTGCCCACGTCAGTCTGCACCCTTCAGGCAGAGGGATGAAACCGGGAAAACCACATCTGCCGTCGCTTTCTGTGCCCAGAGCAAACCCCTGCTGACCTGCCGCTGGAAACTACGGCTGGGAAGTGTCCCACCCTACTCCCGTTCGCACCGCTTCCCTGGGATCCAGCAAAGCGGAGCGGAGGGCCCTCTGCCCTCCCCGGCACAGCCTGGCACATTCTGGGCTCTCAGCCAGCACCGACGGCTGCTGCCCCCCCCCCAGCCACTCAGTCCCAGGCACAGGCGGCAGGAAGGATGCTCCTTACCTTTCCTGGTCAGGGTGACGTTCTGATTCTCAAACATCTGGACAGATTCTCCCACAAAGAGGATCTTCTCAGCCACCCGCACAGGAATGTAGGAAGGCAGCATCTCCACCCGCAGGGAAAACTGCTTGAGAGACGGAGCTAACATGTTCTCCTCCTCAATCAGGCGCTGTCCGAGACCCCAGTGATGAGAAACGAAGCAAAACCAGCGTGAGAAAACCGGGCAGAAAGGTGTGTAAGGGGGGAGGGGGAATTCTTAAGATTTTTCTGAACCTTTAGGTGAGGAAATACCCGAGAGTTTCACTGCGCCATCCCATCAACACTTGGGATGGCCTATACTCCCCGACTGAACTGCCAACACCGTTAGCCAGTCCCACTGCGAGGAGCGTTAATTAGGCTCTCGGTGTCACCTTAAGGCCTGTGTGTCCCACCACGGCGCCGGGCCACACCCATTTTTACAC